TCATATTATTTTATATTGTATATGTATATTTATATGGAGTACACCTGCAGATGCAAATGCAATCGCTATCTATATATATCCCCCATGTCACATTACTACCTCAATCAATAAACATTAATCATCCCAAGTTCTATATCCCGCTGGAACAACGCCATCATGCTGATGCTGATGATGCGTGAAGAATGCTGAGTGAGTCACACCCATAAAGAGAAATCCATGAGAGAAGATGCAAGTTTTCAGTTCCTGTTTTCGTCCTCCTTTATTCACTCTTCCACCCTATTTACAACTTCGGACTGAACCGGCTCATAGCCCGAAGCTTCTTGCCGTAGAAGAAGAAGAGGACGGGAATGGGAATCATGGCGACCGTGATGAAACCGAGCAGACTGGAGGCCCAGTCTACTCCCAGCTTGTTATACATTTGCGTGGCAAAGAGAGGGAAGGCACCTCCCAGGCTACTCCGCACCAAGGTGTTGGCGGCGATGGCTGAGTTGGCGAACATCAAGTACACGTCAATGATGTAGTTGAGTCCCTGCATGAAAATCACCAGGATTCCCATGCCAATGGGCACACCAGCCACAACCTGAGCGCCCCAGGAGGTACTGGGATGTGAGGTCCAGCCGAACCAGAACAGACCAGCGGGCAGCAGCACCGACGCAATTATCATCGGAATGAGACGCTCCTCCGGCACCACACGGCCGTGTTTGGCCAGCTTCCGAGCGAACCGCGTCTTCGTCTGCCAGATAATCAACGCCGCTCCACAGAGCACTCCCACCAGGATGCCAATGAAGGGCAGCCCTGCGATACCCTCGTTCGTCCACCCGCGCACGGACTCGAACGACACGGGGTAGGCTTCGAAGAACAGGTACAGGATGCCGTATACCAATGCCAAATACAGAGTGATCAGAAGCAGAATGGGCTCGAGGAATAGCATCATCACCGGCCGCAGGAGGTACTTGGTCACGATGTCGTTCATCGTGGGGCGAGCATTGTCCAAGAGGGAGTGCAGAGCCTCGTTCCCGGTCTCCCGACGAAGACGAGCGGCACGTTTCTGAAGGATTCTCGGCGCATACGTTTCGGGGACAATAAGGAAGGCCAGCAGGCCAAAGGATCCCGAAGCAATCAAGGTAATCCAGGCCGTCCAGCGCCAGCCAAGGTACGAGTCAGTGAGGTACCCTCCGACAATAGGACCTGCATAAGACATGTTAGCAAATGACATCTACAGTATGTTATTCGGGGCGCAATGGGAGCTTGCTTACCAAGAACGGGTCCAATGAAGGTAGCACTGGCAAACGCTGAAATAGCAACCGCACGATCAACGGGATCCCAAAAGTCGGCCATAGCACCACCCACTACTGCCAGGGGCGAGCAGCCAAAGATACCAATCAAGAATCGGCAGACCAAGATGGTCTCCACGTTCTGTGCCACTGCAACGGGAATCTGGAAGATGGCGAAGATGGCGTAGCCAGAGAACAAGGGAATCCTACGTCCATACAGCTCCGACAGAGGAGACCAAAACAACGGTCCAACTGCGAATCCGAAAACCACCAAACTGGTTGCCAGAATCATAACCTCAGTCGAGACACCGAATTCCTTGGCAGTCACAATGGTTGCAGTCGAGAAGACACTACTGGCGAACGTGATCCACGTAGTCATGAATGACAGCGACATGGTGATCAGCCACTTGCGCCAACGGGGCATGTTTTGGGGATTTTCGGGGTCATCTGGACCGTCCCATTCCACCAAGTTGGGATCCTTTTCCTTCTCCGCTGCCTTTTCCATTTCTGGTTGAGGTGCGCCGGCCTCGATATCATATCCATCTTGCTCCAACTCCTTGTCGATGACGTCTTCGCGGCCCTTTTCTGGGTCGCCGGATGTACTGGCGGATTCCGATTTAAGAGTCGAGTCGGAGGAACGCAGATGCGCTTCGTGTGTTGTGTCGAGATGCGAAGGTGCAAGGTTCGATTCCGGTGCTGCAGCACCGGAAGTATGCTGTATGTCACTCATAATATATGTCTGCGCTCACCCAAATGCGCCAACGAGAGCTAATAGTCTTGATGCTATGGGAAGGGTCGCGAAGGATGAAAGACCAGTTTCAACGTGGAGGAAACCGCCCTGGATGGAGACGGATATAGTATACAAGATTGTCTCCACAGACCAATCGAAATGTCTAAAGGGACTGGGGAACAGGATGCGCAAAACACCTGCCGGGAGTCTAGGGCCATGATGGACATTATAAAGACACCCAAGCCTCTTCACTGAGTGGGCCTCCTCAAGCCAAGACATGAAGAAATGATTAATCAAGACCGGTCTTAATCATGGAAAAGCCGACGGGGTTAAGCCAGGCGGGATATCTCCAGCGAGGGACCCCACTCCTAGGACCGGTCCATATTGACCATAACATCCCAAGGTCCCAGGATCAGGTTACCCACCTTCCTACAGATCCCCGACTGACCTCAGATGTGATCCTGTGCTTAGGTTAGGGCAATGCCATCATGCCCGGGCTTGATTATGAGCCGTTATATCCGAAGGATGACCAGGGTCCCCGGTGTTTACAGGATTCTCATTGGGAACGTACTGATCTGTAGGCCAGAAATAACGCAAGCGTCATGAATAATGCGCTTCCCCGTCTGCACAACAAGCCCCTCAGGCAGCTCTAACAAATTGGGGGCCATGGGATGCAAACTCTTCGCTCTATGCGGCCAAGTGGGCACCAGCTCGCGCCTCGGTGGCTCCGAATCTCCGAAATGATTCATGAAAAAGGTTAGATATCAGCACTGGATCCAGTGCCCACTTCTACCCGATGTCTTGGCATGCCTATCTCGACATTTCTCGACACTTCGTCCTCAGGACGTGCGCAGACTGACCGTTGATGAGATCAGTCTGTTTCATGTGTTTGTGCCAGACTGTGGTAGATATGTCAGCAATAGCAGCACGTGGTAGTTACAACAATCGGTCTGCCATATCACGCAATCTACTGTTGGACTTATCTGCGCGTCTGCAACTTGTGCAGTGATTCGTCATCTGCTTAACTTCAGCCTGTCCACGGGCCATACGCTGGGATACGAACCAGGAACGGCGGCACATTTTCTGAGACCGAAAGCCGAAACCATACCCAATACGGTTAGAAATCCAGGTGCTAACCCTCAGCGACTTGAAACCTCATCACCAGAACTAATCTACTTGAAGATAAACAGGCTGACTTTGTGCTTGTGTGGCTTGGATAGTGTTATAGTAGGACCATGGGAAAAAAAAAGATAGGGGTTCCATAGATTATAGCTATGGGCTCCATAATTTTTTTTTTCTCTTGCCTTTCTCTTTCCCTTCTTTACACGTCTAGACCTTCGACAGATGGAGACCTGACTGGATCCTGCAAGAATAAGAGAGAGGAGACAGAAATATGTGACAGCTCTTCAGGTCAAGTCTCAAACACACACCTCCTTCTAACTGCTGCTAGACAGCTAGGTCGTAGACAACTCACGCCGGAGAATAAATACAAGGCAGATTAGTTTGACAAACGAAACAAAAAGTCTATCCTCTAAGAACTTATCCGCCCGCGTACATGATAGCCCGTGACGAGAACCGCATTAGCAGGAGAGCAAACAGCCGCCATTACCACCAAACGAACTACTCCGGTAAGAAGAAGTGCTTGAAGAGATTTCCAATATCCACCAATCAACCAACAAGGCAAGATTTACCTACTACTACAACACAGGACCATACGGAACTATTCCGATCCACCACACACACACACACACACACACACACACACAAGAAAACTAGTAAAAAAACCCTTAACTACCCATAGTTTAAACAACGAACCGAACCTATCTAAGCTAAGCAATCAATAATGCCAATGTCCGATACCATGGAACAAAGAGAAGAGCTTGAATGATTGTGGATCAACTTCGCTTTACTTAATGGATGTACAGTATATATTTCACTAAGAAGTGGAAAGAATATAACCAATCAGACACTTTGGCCGAGTGGTTTAAGGCGCAGGCCTGCTACTACATCTCCGTACTAGCTGATTAGCCTGTGGGTTCGCCCGCCTGGGTTCGAGTCCCAGAGGTGTCGCATATCTTTTTCTTTTTCTTCCGCATCCTTCCTATATCTTAACTGTCTAGTTAGGAAAATTAACTCTTGTTCTGAGTACATATTTTGAGGGTGAGGAGGGTTCTATCTGACGACTACTATTTTTGGTCGATTCTGTCTAGGTTCCTCCTCACACTACTATGTACAATATGTATGTATGTAGTAAGTATATCATGAAACCAAACCCCGAACCCTACCTACGCCCCAATCTTCCCATGCAAGCGTGCATGCATGCATGCACTGATACCTAGCCAGCTACTACTAGATAATAAGTACCTCCTAAGGCAGTTCGAGATCATGCGAACCGGTCAGTAACTGCGTATGTAGCCTAGCTAGCCGATTTATTTACAGTGTAGTGTCTGTTTACGAATAACCCAGAATAGCTCAGTAGCTAACTGCTCCGGCAACCTACGACCCGATGGATCTATGGTGGTTGGTTGGGAACCCGTGCATGCAGAACACTGGCCGCATATCCGAGCTGCCCGTGATACTTAAGCGAGAACGAGAGGGCAGAGAGACAGAGAGGCAGAGAGGATGATATGATGTGATGTGATGTGATCAGTCGATACACGATATATGCTAGGCGGGTGAGTCCGATCGGTTGCAATTAGCGGTGACTATACATAGTACTACGTACGTACTCTACTTTCATGTTTACTTTTCTGCAGTGTGGGACTGATGTTACAGATTGAATGGAGATGCACCTGGTGGTGGTTGGTCTCAAATTTGGGTTGTTAGAATCGAAAGATTGGGTTTCAGTGGTTTCTTGTTGCAATTGGAGCGGTGAGGACTACTGGTAGGTCTACATTGCTGTGTCTGTGCTACGTCGCAGAATCACAACGACGCATGTACTGCCCACGCTGGCCGTCTAGGATCTGGACGGCCAGCAAAATGACATTCATAGTATATCACTCAGGTATATAATAAATGCAAGACAATGCTACAGTATGCGGTGGACAACATACGCCACCCAGCCGGCCAGTATATTTCTCAATGGGTATCCAACCCTCCCGTGCGAGTTCCGGCCAAACGGGAGTTGTCACTAGAAAAACAAACGCCGGGTTCCCTTATCCTCCCACAGGAATCAGATTAATCGCTGCAAAACGCCGGGAAATGCAAGACGCTATTCAAGTATCAAGAGCTTTCATCAACAGAGTCATTGAGGTCGTGGCGTTGCTTCAACGCATCAACGGCCTTCTCTACTTCGTCCTTGGCCACGGTAGCCAGCGTGGCTTTGGCCCCGATCCCGAGCGTTTCGACGTCGCCCGCACGCTCGTACAGCTTCCGAGATATATTTCGATTGATTTCCGTGTATTGTTCTTTCGTGATGATCTTCGAACGATAGTAAGGCTTAAGCGATGAACCGACCAGCTTCTGTATGTCGGACTTGACTTTGAGGGACAAGCCGGGACGACTAGGAGAGCTGTCGTCGGAACGGATAGCCGCTGATCGAGTGGCAGAGCGAGGTATCCGACGATTCGGGCGGCGAGTGGGGACTTGAGACGAGTGATCGTCTTGGGCACTCCGAGCAGAACCAACCGGCGACACATCTGGCGAAAAAGGTGGAGAGGACGGGTCTGCTGGTGACCCCAGTTGTAGTGGAGACATGGGCCTGCCTCGGAGGGTTGGAGGCGGTGTGACGGAAGACAGACGCGGGGAAGAATGGTTAGATGGGGCAGGCGAGATGGAAGGCGACGAGGGGCCTGGGGTCGTATGATCGGTGGGTGCAATGGATGATTGACCGGAAGCGCCATGGGAAGTGACCCCGTTCGGGTTGGACGATTCTTCGACCTCCTTTAGAAGGGATTGAAGGAAACTCGGTTCGCTCGAACTCTCGGCATTGATCCGAGCAGAGGCCTGCGCACTAGCAGCTCTCGATGATTCACCATTCTGTACCGCCCGAGCTGCCAGGTCTTCGGCCCTTCGTGTTCGGGGCCGCTTCAACTTGCGTTCAGGTTCGGTAGGTTCAGGAGACGGCGACAACGTCGGTTCCTTACGTTTCCGGGCCGCGCTTGGGTCATTCTCAATCTCACGGGCACGCTCGAAAGCATTCCAGGCCCTCATCTCTTCAAGAGACTCGGGCTCTGGGGTGGGCTCACGAGGAACGCGGGGCCGCGACGGGCGAGGCGCCTCGATATCCAGTAGAGCGGCAGTGTCTCGGAACCGATTGCCACCGCCCTGCTGCTCGGCAACTTCAAAGCGACGTTGCCAGGCTCGAAAATCACGTTGGTGGGCTTCTTCCCTGCGCTGCTCTTGTCGAGCGCGCTCGGCAGCCATGTCATCATCAAATGGAAAGTCCAAGTCAATATTCAGATGATCCCAGACAGATTGCCACACGCGAGCCCAGTGCAGCGAGTTGAGCTGGTTCCTGCTCTGCAGTCTGCGTCGCTGTGCTCTTGTGCGACGGCCACGCCTGTCCTGTGTCTGGGAAGACCACTCGGCAGTCTCAGGAGACCGCCCGAGGCGACGTTGCGTCACACACCGTGCGCAGTACCAGGGACCCGTCGGGACAGAATCGAGGCCAACACAATATGTGTGAGAGGGGACATCGCAGCCATCACATAGGAGAAGCAGTTCTTCATTGTCTGCGTCCCCACAGATTGGACAAGGTTGAAAATCCGCAAAATCATCATCTATATATTCAATGATCATCGAAGGGTCGACTTCTGCTTGCTGAACTCGATCCTGAACGGCATAGGACGATGTGACGGGACCTGGAGCGAAGCCAAAGATCAGTTAACAGAGATACACACGTAACGAACAAGAAGAAAATAGAGACCATCCATGACCATGTAGGTAGGTCAATAGAAAGAAAAGGGACTTATCATGAACTTACCACCAGGGCGGTCACTTAGTTCGACCATGTTGAAACTCCGACGACATATCGGACAGCTGTTGGCCCGCTCGACCCAGGGCTTCAGGCAGTTATTGTGCAGGATATGCCCACAAGGGAGGAGCTGAGCGATCTGACCCGAGTCCTCTGTGCCATCTACGCCATCATGGTTGTTGAGAGAGGTATCCGCCGACTTGCCCTCTGCCCCGAGGTCAAGTCTTGGCGCGGCCTCGGCGGCGACGGCAAGAGGATCGCTGGCGCTTTCGCCAAGGTCTCCTAAGCACACAATACAGGTGTCGGACATTAACAGAAGGTGATGTGCCACAATTGTCTGCAGAGACGCTGAGAGAAGGCATGAAGAGCAACCGGCAGAAGGGACAGGAAGGCAGAGGGAGTGGGAAGGAGAAGGGGAGAGAGAGCCAGGTCGAGTGATGTGGGGAGAAAGCAACCGGCCTTTTGAAGGTGGACCTGAAATCCAGCCTAACGCAATGCAGTCTGGCCTCCAACGTGACCGGCCTTGGTCCAGCCAATGATCTTCATTGAATATCGTCGCCTGGCCTTAGTCACCCGCGCGCTCTCTTTTTTGAATGATGAATGAGAAAAATGCCTTGCCCTTGCAGCACCAGCTGAGTACCTTTGCATCTCTAGTCTCAGCAAGCCTCTTTCTTCCTAGTTAGTTGGTTCCCTCCCTCTGCTTTAGTAGCTGACTGTCTTTCTTTCTCTTCCCTGAAAAAGCTAGTAGAAAAGTCCACGGGTCGGTGGGACCCTGATCTTCCCCCCCTCCATGAGGATTAAGTAGTTAGTGTATAGTAGTGCGAACTCCCGAATGACCTTTTCTTATCTGCCTAAAAAATGACGAATAATTAGTTAACTTGATATATTTAGCTGACACAACGGTCCGTCCCTAGTGGTAGCTCGAGAAAACGAAAATAACCAAAGAAAAGGAACAGATACGTAGTGAACACATTTCTTTAAGGTTTGCGACCGTCTTGAGCAACCTGTCCGAACAAGCTACGGATAGAACTCTATATGAGTGATCAAGCAAAAGGAAGACCACTTTGGCACATATGGATAGTATGCATGCATGTCGATAAATGCACGAGGGGGGCGTTTTCCTTTACATCCTTGCGGAAATGCGGTGGTTGGCGGTGCCTCCCTACACACTCAACCCAAGAATTATCGAGTGGACATCCATCAACCTGAACCCAACATCCCCTGTTGAGATACTCACATGCTACCACAAACGAGTCCATCAGATGGCATGGCACAATCACAAGTTACTCCGTTGTTTCCAAGTGCAGAACAAGAGTGGTAGTACGAAAAGGTTCATCCGATAAATCCGGTAAATCGACTAATTGGTTCGATGGAACTGGGTGAAAGGTCTGGAATCACCGATGGTATTTAAATCTATTGGTGAAGAAAACTCCTTGTGCAAACGACAGCAGTTGGCGTTACCAACATCGAACTAGCGGGCTTCGTGGAAAGAGACATTCGCTCATTGAAATTCTCCAGATCTCATTTTCTCATTTTTTGATTTAAACGTAATAGAAAAAAGTAATCCCATTATCACATTTAAACCTCCGCGATTTCTCTGAGACGACGGATGGTGGAGCGGGTGGCGGCGGCGGCGGGGGTACTGTAACACAATCCAAGCGATTAGCATCCATGTCATGCCCGCTTCTCAGGGGCCCAGTCCAAGTAGATGGAGATTGCACTGGACCCAAGACGCAGCTTATCCAAAGCAGCAGCGGCAACAGCAGAGTTGGTACTTACGAGACAGTGTAGGCACCACCGGCGACGGTCTTGTTGCAACCCTTGCACTCCCAGATACCAACAGCCTTGCGCTTGACGGTGTTCTTTCCGCAGAAGGTGCAGATGTAACGGGCGTGCTGGGACACTTCCATCTTCTTCACCTGCTTACGCAGGGAGGCACCGTATCTGTTATCAAACCATCGTCAATATCGATCTTTCTGTATCGCAAAATTCGAGGTTGAATATGTCGTCTTCGATTTCCGGGAAATAAAAACTCGATCGACTTCATCCCGATTTCAAGACTTCGTGGTGGAAAACCGTGGCTGCATACCTGGTACCATATTTACCCGTGATACCGACCTCTGCAATAAATGTTAGTCTCGCGATTCGTCGTTCATAAATTCAAAACCTCATCAGTCGTTCTGTAGAGGTTCAAAAGGGGCACATACTCTTGGTGCGCTTCGTCATCTTGTCTCTGTGCGGCTGTTGAGGTCGAAGATGATAACAGTGCGGTAAGTCGAAATCGAGACTGAGGCTTTCTACTCGGGCGGGAATGGTTGTGGGCGGGCTCGCTTAGGGCTGGAACTTCGGTCACGTGCACCCCTTCAAATGCAGATGCTCCCCATGATGTATTCACTTGGCTACTCTAGTAGTCGCATACTTTATCATACTGTGGAAAACTATACGATTTAATCTATAGAGAGCTTCGTAACTTCTTTCAATCCATCTACTTTCCTGCTCATAGCCATGTTCGTCATTTTGCGCCGTACTGTGCGCATGTATCTCGAACCAGCAGCCCCCCACGCACGTGTGTACACAAACGGAAGATTATGTAATGCGACACAGCATAACACAACTAATTAATTAGTTTACTAACCACTTTGTAACTAGTCGGCAATAGTTACCTCATGGTAAGCAACAAGGATTTTGTATAGCTTCTTTAGGACCCTTGCTTGATTTTGATTACTGAACAGAAGCGAGTAAAACTCTTTCATATGCTAGAGACAGCTACAATGAACTACACAATGCCCCCTCATCCCATTACTGCATTAAGCATAACCACATGCCTCGGTCCTCTCATCGGAGGTTTCTTCACATCGGGTTAGCCCAGGACCGCTGTTCAGCAACGCCGTCATGGCTGGGTGGCATTCAGGAATCCCCCCTAGATTCAATCCGTGGCGGTCAAATAATTTGCATAGTGCTTGTATCCTACCTGTATCTGCTATCCAGCATCTCCTTCGTATATCACAAATCGATATAGCCGACAAAGCCTCACAATCAAATGGAATCCAATAAGCAATATGATCTGATCGTCCTGGGGCCCACGGGCTATACAGGACGCTTCTGTGCTGACCACATCGTCAAGAACTTTCCCACCAACCTGAAGTGGGCTCTGGCTGGTCGTTCTCTCAGCAAATTGGAGAATATCGCCAAAGAGCTGAAGAATGTGAACCCGGATCGTGCCGAGCCAGGTACTTGATACTACATGTCTGTTGGCTGAACACACCGTTGACTTGCTTGTAGACCTCCTCGCCGTGCAACTCAACCGTGAAGAGCTGCACCCGTTGGTCCAAAAGACGCGAATTATCATTAACTGCGTGGGTCCTTACTGTCTATACTCCACGCCTGTGATTGAAGCTTGCGCCAGCAACGGAACTCACTACGTCGATGCGTCAGTTTGCCTCTGTATAACCAGTCCACCAATGCATAGCTAACCGAAGCAGTACCGGAGAGACACACTGGGTCAAGGAGATCATCGGCGAATACCACGAAACTGCCAAAGCGAACGGTGCTGTTGTATGTACCTTATCCTCACGGCTCCACAATACGACAACAACCTAACTATCAATCAGATCATCCCTTGCGTTGGCATCGAAAGCGCACCTGCAGACTTGCTCGCCTGGGCTACAGTGAAGCGAGTCCGCGAAGATCTATCCTGCCACACCAGATCAATCACCGGTGACATCCACGAGATCAAGTGAGAGACACCACCTACCCCAATAGGCCATCCAATACATCCTAACCTCAACCCTCGCAGATCCTCCGGAGCAAGCGGCGGCACTCTCTCCACCGTTCTCACTTTCTTTGAAAATGTACCACCTTCCGAAATGCGCAAAATCTCCACCCCCTTTGCGCTGGCCGCATCGGCCCCTCCGAAAGATATCCCCCGTGAGCCGCTATGGGCGAGGCTACTCGGTATCCGATCCGTCCGCGACATGGGTATCTTGACCACCTCTCCATCAGGCCTAGCAGACACCACCACCGTCCACCGCAGCAGTACCCTGATGCCAGAGTTCTACGGACCCCGATTCTACTTCAAACAATTCCTCCGTGCCAGGAACGCCTTCACCGGAATCCTCTGGCACTATACGTTCCTGTTCGCTATTACGGCTCTACTCCTGCCTCCGGTTCGCACCCTCGTCAGGAAATACATCTACACTCCGGGTACCGGCCCTACCCTTGAGGATTCCGTCAACGACTTCGTCGAGTACCGCGCCGTCGCGACTGCGGACCAGGATACCCCCACGCCTCAGCGCGTGCTGGGCAAGTTGAGATACCAGGGTACTATGTACGAGTTCACTGGGTTGAGTCTGGCTGAGGCAGCCATGACGATTCTTGAGAACGAGGAGAAGGTGAAGAAGGTGTCTCGTTGTGGTATCGTCACTACTGCTACGCTGGGTCAGGAGTTCATTGATCGCTGGGATAAGGTCGGGTGTCATATTGAGACTCAGATCGTTGATAATTGATTTGCTTGTGGCCTTGGCCGATGGACGAACTCTCAACAAGATTTTGTTATATAGCTACTCATGACTTGATTTGGTTGTTTATAGATATTTACTTGGTTGTTAATAATACTACTTGCCAGTGAAACTGCCCCGCGGCTTGTTCGAACAGCTCTCATATGCCGACCTCCATGTTACTTATATAAATGACTTGATCCTAGTACTGGTAACCCATTTTCAATAACCTGTAAATCCCAAACAATCCTCAATATAATCCCGCCCAGCGGATAATCCCAAAAGAGACCTAAGAATACAATCAACCAATCAAGCAGGATATGCGTACAAAAAGGTACACTTCAGCACTACCCATACATACCACCCCCATCAGAATCAATCAAAGCTCACAACCTCGACATCCTCAAACTCTTAAACACCACCTCCTTCAACCACCACGCAATAATCTCATTCACCTCCTCCGGCTCCTGCCACAGCGCCCAATGCCCCGTGTTCACCTGCTTGTACGTCAAATGCGGCACCGTCCTCGTCATTCCTTTTCCTAGATGAGGCGGCAGCGCGGAGTCCTTCAGCGCTTGAATGAATAGTAACGGGGCCGTGATGCGTGCGTTCAGGATGGCGAGCTCTTCTTCGTAGTTTATCTCTCGTGTGCGGTACCAGTTTACTGTGTGTTTGTTAGTAGTTTTCTTTACACTAGGGATTGAGCGGTAATGGGAATAGGGATGGTTGGAACATACACGGCCCTCTCAGCCCATTCCTCGAGAATTCATTCGCATAGTATTCCAGTTCCTGGATGTCATCCACATTAGCATCTCCATCCCACTCCCTTCTTTCATATGAAGAAAGTAGAAATAGACTCACCACCTCACTCAACAAAGGCGACGGCCTGACAAGTTCCATCCGATCCAACAAAACCCCATACTCGGCATCAAACGCCACGTCCCTATCATCCGTGCGACCGCCATACAGCGCCGACAAGAACTTCTCGATATCTTCCTTGCTAAAGATGACATCTTCAAGATTCCCGCTCCGGAATTGCAGCTGGTACGCGAAATGCGGCGCAATGTTCTCTACCATTTCTTCTAGTGCGAGGTATTTCCGGGTTGGCGCTGCGTATGGCACGCAGACTGTGAAGATGTGCGTTACGAGCTCCGGGTGCCAGAGCGCGACGCGGTAGGCGAGGGCGGCGCCCCTGTTGGTTTCAGTGTTTGGTTTATGTGTTTGCTTGCTGTTATAGTGCGGACTAGATTGCTTGGATTTCAAGGTGGAGGTGAGTACTTACCAGTCATGTCCGCCGAGGATGATCTCGGGAGCGTCTAGTTGGATTGCGAGTTCTTTGATGTCGTTGGCGCAGCTTTTATGAGAATATAGTTCTATTTCTTCGGGTGCGTCCTTTTAATTCGTAAATATTGATGTCTTGTGTTTTTGAGGGTGATGATGGCACGTACTGTTCGGCCGTATCCTAGACAATCTGGCGCGACGACTCGCAGACCCATGGAAATCAACATGGGAATTTGGTAGCGCCATCCCATGGATAGGTCGGGGAAGCCATGGAGCTGTACGCAGCAGATAGTAGTTAGATCGTCTTGTTTGATTTAGATGATAGTTCAATGTGATATATATCACTAGTCACTCTTGATTGGGATGGCATCACGCACGAGGAAGATTGTTGCCCGATAAACTCCTGATTCGGGCTCGCTGTAGAGGTAGCCTGCGATATATATCAGCAATCATGTGTTACAGCTTCTAGTCTATCTAGATCTAGTAGATAAGTATAGGGGACAGCTGTGCTGCATAATCATAATAATGATGCATGATTTGAGGATTTATCGAGCCTGCAGGCAATCCGTCCTTTGAATTGCATCAGATGTGCTGCATCTCCTACATACCGTATGTCTTGCCATTGACGTTTGCCGAGCGGCGCTCGACCCTCGGGTCGCCGGTTACATCGATCTTGTCCACGGTCATGACGGAACAACTGTTGGATGGAAGCTGCAATGTTCAAGTACTGACAAGAATGTCTACTGCAGGAAGAGATTTAGATGGAATGAAAGAAGTGTTCAGGCAAGTTGCATGCTGCTATACCGACTTTCCCAGGATCTATAAATGGTACCCTATGGAGACCCCCGCCAGCTGTCCCGTCACGTGCAACCGGGGCTACTGATCGATTAATATAAGACTAACTACAGGAAATGAGGCGACAGAGTCCATTGGGCACGAGTAATATGGCATTTCCGGTACACATAAACCTGTTTTCCTGGCAGTAGTTTCGCCCTGGTTGATTGGTGACCGCCGAATTGTTTGTGTTCAGCCAGCCGAAGGGGGGAACTCGCCGGCCTTCCCGCCGAAATGCCTCGGTTCTTACTCGATGCAGACACTAAGAATGTACATAAGGAGGAGAAGCATAGACTTGCCTTCAACCTCCGGTCGACATTGCAATTCGCTACTCGATATGATAGAATATGATGGAATTAAATAAAAAGAAGAATGAGAGAGAGTGTCACCGCTTCTGCTGCTAATAGATTACCGTATCTTCTTGGTCCTCCTCCACTTCACCGCCATCATCGTCGTGTCGATGGATATCCGAGCGGTCATGGTCCATACTAGTAGATACATTGCTGTCATTAGCAGGTGAGGTCTCGGCTTTGGCTTCTTCGGAGCCTCCGTCGGCTGTTGTCTCAGCTCCCATAGTCACCGAAGACGCTTGAGCGACGCTCTTATTCTCCATGGCGTCTGACTCGGACACCGAGGCTGGTTCCTGGGTCTCTTCATGCTCAGCCTCCTGCATCTTCTCCTCCTGCTGCTCGGGGTTCTTCTCCTCGTGGGACGAATAGCGTGCTTCGAACTCCGCCACTTCTCTTGCGACAGTAGCTTCCGCTTCTTTAATCTGGTCCTGTATTATATCCTCATCCTCCGCCCTTAGCTGCCACGGCTTGTAGTACTGCAGATAGAATAGTCAGAATCTTCCAAACTCAAGCACCAACGCCACAAAACCATAAATTCGGGATACATACTAATACCGGCTCTGTCCTCGTCTTAAGGAAATGAGCCATCGCAATCATATTCGAGTGGCGCGTGCGCATCTGAGACACCCATCCATCAGCGCCTGCACGACATAAACCGAGCAGCAAACCAAAAACCCAGCAAATCACCATCATGATCTGATCATCCCCGGGGAATACGGAATTTCAAAACTCACCGATTCCTCCTCGTAGAACCTCTGCTCCTTCTTCCGAATCACCGCCCGTTCCTCCCGCCTCTTCTTCTTCAGCTCTCCATATTCTTCATCCTGCAACTTCAACTTATCCTGTTGTCGTCGCTCAATATCCGCACGTCGCTTTTGGGCCGCCGAGGTCGAGCTCTGCGAAAGCGTCCCCAGCAGAGCACCGAATAGTCGTTGGCCGCGTTTGCGCTCTTCATCCCGCCCTGCGCCACGCCGCGGTTTCCGTTCTGTTACATCCGGTGAGGCCTGTTTGCGATCCGGAATAGACTGGGTGTCATCGTGATTGTCCGTTTGTGAGCTAAGACGACGGCGTTTGTTCTCCGAATCAGGATCCGTAATTGACGACTGTCGCCGCTTTAGCCCTGCTTCTGGGGACGGAATTGTAGTAGTATCCTGGTCGGGGAGGGCGACGGCCGACGCGAGAGTTCTGTATTTCCATGCAAATGTCCCATGTTAGCAGGGATGTTTCTTGTTAAGAAAAGTAGTCAGGGTAGGCAGCGAAATAATATATACCTTTCAGTCATATCTGGCAGGGAGGAGAAGCCGTGAGAGGTGAGGAAAGAAGCAAATAAGAAATCAATCAATCAAATGAGAACAAATTTGCTTGTAAGATCAGAAGAATAGACACTTGGTATCACACAACTCGAATCAAAACATTCCGCAAAAACAACCAGACAGAAGTCACCGGGTATTCATTTGCAGCTTCTCTCAATCAAACCTTCGTTTCGGTATCGCGATATGCCCGGCGCGGCGGGACTCCAACGGCCCGTGCACGGACCACCAGACCGCCCCGAAAGAGCGTTTCTTCCAGTTCCATCTCCCTCTCTGACCTCTCTCTTCTGTGTGTCCCCGACCCAGACTCTTCGATTACCTTCTACTGTCTCGCTGCTGACATATCACATTGTATCGTTACGAAGCGTCAACTGCTCGTAATAACTGCAGCTTTCTTCGACAGCGGACCTAACATTTGTCTCGTTATTTCCTCGTTCTTCACGACTCGTCGCGTCTCTCCTACCTTCACAAAAGAGCTACTAATCTCATAATCCCACCATGTCTCGCCATCACCCCGATCTCGTCATGTGCCGCAAGCAGCCCGGTATCTCTATCGGCCGCTTGTGCGATAAGTGTGACGGCAAATGTCCCGTGTGCGACTCCTACGTGCGTCCCACGACCCTGGTCCGCATTTGCGACGAGTGTTCCTTCGGAAACTACCAGAACAAGTGCATCGTGTGTGGTGGAGAGGGAATCAGTGATGCCTTTTATTGCTTTGAGTGCACGCGACTCGAGAAGGATCGAGACGGATGCCCGAAGATTATTAACTTGGGAAGTTCGAGGACGGATTTATTCTACCAAAAGAAAAGTTTTCGAAATCATTGATGCGGGCTGGGTGTTGTTTTTCCTTGTTCGCCACGCGTTTAGGCTCTTGGGCGAGAACGTCTGCTCTCTGCATCGTATGCTCCTGGTCTTAGGGAGCTCTGCAGACTTATGGGGGTGGCTTGGGCGAATATGAATGGTTGTTGAGTGTGAGACAGCTACAGCTACAGAAGAGAGAGGAGATTTGTACCGGCGGTGTTTCGGTCACAGGTGCCCGGGGCTATATACTATCGCGGATCATAGAGCGGGATATACAAGAAATTACGGGGTCATCTACCCACGCACGGAGATTTACCGACCCGGACGTCTCGGTCTCGCAAATCCCCGACTCGGTCCGTTGTCCTGGGGCGGGTGGACTTCTTCATGCAACCTTTCGCCCGTGATCTCATCGGGCGAGGATGCCTCGATCTGCGTGCTGTGTTAGGAAGACTCTTCAATCAATCGAGCGTTTGAAATCAGCTCTTACCTTCTTTGAAATCTTCAGGCCCTGATCGCCAGCCATAGTGATTGCATGCATCCGGGAGCTGGCGTACAGCATACGCTCCTTGATCGAGGAACCCGAGGGGCAGGTATAGATGAAGATCACCACGTCGGAGTCGGGGTAGTGGTAAAGTGTGTACCGGGGAGAAGACGAAGGGATGTGTGACTGGACGCAGTTCGCCTCCACTCCGGACTCAGCGGCAGCAACCTTGATCGCCTCCGTCGGGACATCAATGGCCTGTATTTAGACAAAGCGAAGTTAGATTCCTAATTGAAAGACACATAACCCAGATGCATTGATCGCAGGATCATGAAGGGACGTACCAGCTGAACCAGGCCTCCCTGCTGTAACCCTTCGAGGGCCTGCTTGACCTCATCATCCACTTTCATCTTGACGGACGCACCACCGAATGGGTTTGCTCTGTTGAACGTCCCACCAATACCGATATCTCTGCTCGGAGTGCCGCTACGAGCCTCCTCTTCGGCTCTCCGCACAGCCTCCAACTCCCGCTCCTTCTCGCCCATCAGATCCTCCCGTCGGAAACCGCCCGCGGTACCCTTCTTCTCTGCATCCCGCTCCTTCCATGCCTTCTCACCAATGACCTCATCTTCATCCGTAGCGAAGATGGTGGAAGCGAACTTCTCCGTTCCCAGTTCCCTAGCCAAGGTGGCGCGGGTTGCGGCGAAGAGAGTCTTAGCGCGCACGCCAGCATTAGAAGGAATGTAGGTCAAAGCCACAAGGGAGGATGAACCACCCTCAGGGCGACGAATGAGGAGGTAAAGGGGAGTCTTGGGTTCAAGGACGGATGAGAGCTGGGAAAGAGATGGGTAGAAGGCGTTCGGAGAGGCGAAAGGAACCGGGGAAAGGGGCGACAGGCTTTCCGACTTGATTGTTACGGGAAGACAGAAGATGGATTCATCGGAGACGAAGTTCCTGAAGGCTTCGTGAAGCTCATCAGAGACTATTGTGTATAGTTAGCAAAGAATGCTGGAGTTGAGCGTAACTTGGGGTTGTAAGGTGGCATGTCCGAGGGGATCGGTTGCGGGATGTCGTAATCGTCAGGAACAAGGGGAAGACGAGGGGAACGAGATTTGTAGATATGTACCTGAGATTCCGGACTGCATCGTGAATCAAGGTCCAGCAGTAGCTCCTGGCCGTTTCGGATGATGCAACTTATCGGCCGGTCTACTTCCTGCAGTCGAGGGGTTTATCTGGAAGGTTGTTTCGGGGAGACAGACGGAGGGGAAGGGCAGAAGCGGTGTGTCTTGCTTCTAGCGGGGCTCAGTTGCTGCCCCGGGCGATCGGCCCTCTTCTTATCTACGTGGGAAGTTTTGTATCTACTTTCACTCTATACTACGCCCTCGGAATTCAATGAACTTCTCTGAATGGTTTATTTGACTCTATCCAAGAACGGAGGTATGCTAACATAGGAAATGAACAAGGAAATCGGATATAATATATACAACCCACTCCGTGTGGATCTCGCCTGGCGGCTCGCCAATACCCTCAAACATATAAACAGGGGAATACTGATAACTCAGCGATCGAAAACGCCACCATGCTCATGGTATCAAATGCTTTCGAGAACACACAGTGGCCATCCCTTCAATGGGAGCCACTTACTCTTCATAGTTTCCACCAACGAAAGCCCACCCGGAGGTCTCCAGCTTGCCCTTCAGGAACTCGTACACGGTGAAAGTGACGGCCTGACCAGGTGCCACTCTCATCACACGGGGCGTGATACCCTTGTAGAAGGCGCGAGCACCCTCTTGCTTGAACATGTCCTTCGCAATGACCATGATACGTGATACGGCTGATTGACCGGGCTCAGCGCGGGTCTTCTGCAGTCTCGTCTTGATCGTGTCGATCGGGGCGTTGGAGAAAGGTCCAACAGCACCGGAGATCAGACCGATAAAAGTTGTCTGGTAGGAAGGAAGCTGTGTGTTGCTGTACTCGGGCTGAACTCTCTGGAGGAAAGCCTTCAATTCGGTGTAAGCTGTGAAGTTGGCAGCTTGGTTGGTTCCTTGACGAAGGGCAGTCAGGGAGACACCGCGATACAGAGTGCTGAATCCCTCTTCCTTGATCACGGTGAAAAGCGCATGTGGTGCACTGCGGTACTTGGGGGTATCGAGAGGGTCTGCCAGACTGTGATGTTGTGCTTGCAAACGAATCTTAACAACCTCCATAGGATTGACCACTGCCACGGCTTCGGTCACACCAGCAGCAAGACCAGCTAAATAAAAGGAGCCCTGTTAGCCTCCACATACCTCACTGAAAAAGGGCTATGGATTGTGACTTACCCAGGAAAGTGGCTTTGCTGGTCACGGCACCGGTCTCCTTATCAGCAAGCATTTGCTTGTATGATTCGTAGGAGGTGAACCGAATTGCCATCTTAGGGATGATACCACCAAGGACGGCACCCAGACCCTTGTACAGACCCATGGCAGTCTCCTTCTTCACGATCTCAACACCGGTGGCAACGAACCCGCGGGGTTTTACCTGTCAGACTGTTAGCTGTGACTCAATGCTTCACACATGGTGTTCACTTACACCCGGTGCGCGGGCCCGGCGGGAGAGCTGCATCCGAACTTTGATGGTGTCTGGCATATACTGTCAGTGGAGTTCTCACCCGAGACAGTCAATTGACTTATTTTAGCACATACCAAGAGGGTGACACACGAGCGCTTCCATCATACCGGCACCACCACCAGCTGAATCGCAAGTTAGTACAGTACTCTCTCAATGCGCCGGGAGGGTTTGCTTACCGATGAGGTTCACAGCCGGGGAGGCTGGCTTCTTGCCATTGCGGCCTTGTACAGTTTTTGCGGACATTGTGAACAATTGCTAATTTTGCAGAAATGTTGTTTTCACCGTCAATTGGTAAGAAGCTCTTCTGCAAGAGCTATAGCCGGCAACGCAGTGGGACAAGCTTCCAGGCGATCGCTTGCAGCGAAAGTACTTTGACAAAAGGGGGGAAAAGAGGAGAGAAAGATCAAGAGTGAATCGCCAGCGATCCGGAGTCCAGGGATCTTTATTATTTTTTTAATTAAAAGAAAGGACGGGGACGATCTCGGAGGTTCACAGGAAGGCCCAAAAATACGGGGAGATACGGAAGTATAACTACGTCCCTCGGCTCTGCCCACCCAAGGTATTTAAATCGGCGAGTGAGGGAGTCACTTGATTAGCGGCTTAGCTGGAAGATCCCAAACATTCGCAAGGCCGTTCTCGGCAATGAGGATCTCAGACGGGCTCGGCTCCAGTGGCGGCTTTTGCTGTCGCTTTGGATTGATTTTAGCCCAGGCGTACCGGGCGTGGAGGGAGCTATGACGGGGAAGCGGAGGAAGCTTCTCTGGACGAGCGGAAGCAATGCCGCCGTCTTCGCACAGTAGACCAACAACCGAACGCCTTGAGTCTTAACTTAGGACAGGGTCAACGGAAGGAAAAGAAACTAGTCAAGTGATTGGATTCTGGACTCTCCACGATTTACAATTTCCCTTAACGTGGGGGACATCCCATCACTTATACCCTTACGGCTGCCATCTCCCCGGTGGTGGTTAAGCTGCTCGTGTCTACTGAACTTATTCTACTTCACCCCGAGGCATCGGGAGCTGCACAAAGTCATTCCGAATAACGGCGCGCAGATTGGCACTTCCAGTCCTTGTGGCCCAAAGGTGGCGTGGCCAAAAATGAACTCAGAGTGCCAATGGTAAGCCGGAACCAGAGATCATGGTTCCCAAATGTCAGGTAAGACCGGACTCTTCACATGCTGGAGAGTTCCCTAATGGCTTGGTTTCCAGCATATCGTCGTCATCTGCCAGTCGTAAGCAGCAGTAGCTACCTACACACCTACATAGAAAGCCTTAGCTTGTGACATGGCTTTCTTTACCCCCGAGACACGACCGTGACCCTAAAGTGTGGGGGATAGGAAGTTGGTGCACCAGTTCTATAATTTCCACGGGTAATTCCGGGCCAAGCCTGGGGTCGTTCTTCAGCCGAGGTCCTTTCTCCGTCCGTCGGTGCCGACAGTTGTTAATAGCAAGGAAATGTTCATCCTGTGTGGAATGGATAATAATTACAGTCTGTATATTATAATAAAAGGAACAACAAAAGAAAGAACTATGCCTCTCATCTTGTGACCCCCAGGGATTTTCCCCTTTCCAGCTAGCATATTACCTTTCCGTTGCTTCCTTTTTTGCAAGTCACGGGGTTATGCATGTTCCCCTCTCCTGAAGGTTTACCCCACGGTTCATGATTTACCCACGCCCCCCGGAGGTCATTCTTCCGAGCATACATAACGAGATTATTAAGAGATTTTAACTTATGAAATAAGAACATAAGAATCTTTGAACTGCGAGGAGATATGTATTTCTGCTATGGGCATGTCCCAAAACAGACGAAAATAAATGGTCTATTTTTCAAATAAGAAAAATGATAAAGAAAAAGAGGCGATTAACCGATAACATAAAATACTAAAAAGAAGGGAAAGCGATCGATTCCCCAGATCTTCACATGTCAAAGTATAACTGGACGGTTAGTCAGTAGATTGTTCTTAGTTTTAGTTAACTAGCATATGATCTCTGCTGCTTTCCATTATTCATCGCTCTATTCTACCTTAATGTAGAGGGTCTTCCTGTATAGTCCCTATCATGTTCTTTCTTGTCTTGTTGTGTGATTCCAGCCATGGCCATATCTTATGTCTGTTAATGGTGGTGTGGGTTTGCCCATCGGAGAGACATGTACGTGCAGTATCGGAGTAGAAAGGATTTGGTCACATAGTGGTACACTTCATGTACTAGTAGTATATACTACGTGTAAGGACCTGAAATCCAATCTTCTCCGATCTGAGTCTTGGACTTGAGACTATGTAAGAGTGCGGGACATAGTAATATGCAGCCTTATCTGGGTAGAGCCTGAGGCATAAGTTACTAGTATTCTATCGGGGATATACCCCAATAGCAACTATAAGAGACTCATCAGAACTATAAACATTTTCTATAGATCTGTTGGTGTAGACGAATAGTAGCGTGACCGACAACTGTGGAAACCCATGCCAAGGATGAACCGATATCTTTAATCCCAATAAGCCTATGGGAAAACCCCACTATGATTCGAGTTCCCCTTCAGGATGGATCAATATCGCTAGTTCAGATGTTGTGTTTCCTCATTATCGCTAATAACTGTATAAATACTAAATGAATACTTTCATACCTTTTTGATCTGTTCTATAGGTTACGCTGCACCGCGCTATTGATTGTGGTCCTAACCCCGGATCGCGTCAAGCAACCGATAAAATGGACAATCGTTCAGCCTATCAGTTTATCAGCCCCCCCAGCTCGGACATGATCCGAGCGCTCTTTTTTTTTACCCTTCTTTTTCAACATTCCACCACGCGACAATGTTGGTATGTGGAATATCTTGATTTGGTTTATTCTTTTGGAGATTTGGGATCGCTTTTCTAACGTTGAAGCCAAGATATGAAAATATCCTATATTCGACATACATCCCGTATGAGCTGAGCAGCAGCAGCAATGTCCATATCCAACCATGACCCCACATCCACCAGGGGCATAACACAAACTCTCAAGGCCATCGCCCTCTTTATCCTCCACCAATGGCTCCTCATCGGCATCGGTGTCGCCTGCGTCTTGGCCTACTATTTCCCCAATGTCGCCAAGAGCGGCGGCATCATCCGCTCCGAGTATAGCATTCTCTATGGCGCGATGGCCCTCATTTTCCTGATCTCCGGTCTCAGCGTGCCTCGAGAAAAGCTCATTATCCATCTCCTTAACTGGCGACTGCATGTTCTTGTCCAGGGTCTATCGTTCCTCGTTATCCCGGCTTTCATCCTCGCTATTGTGCATATTATCTTGGCCGGTGACCCAGACGAACATATCGATCGCGCTCTGCTGGCCGGGTATATCTTCCTGGCTTGCATTCCTACCACTATTGCTTCGAATGTTGTCATGACTCGCTCGGCGGGCGGTGATGATGCCGCGGCGCTGGTGGAGGTCATTATCGCTAATTTCTTGGGCCCGTTTATCACCGCTGGATGGACGGTGACTTTGCTGCCGAAGTCGGAGGAGTTTGATGTCTGGAGAACCGGGGATGGGGATCTCTCGGATATGTATCGCGATGTGTTTAAGCAGTTGGGTCTGGCGGTGTTGTTGCCATTGGTGGTGGGTCAGTTGATTCGCTGGGTTTGGCCGGATATTGTGGCCAAGGTGTTGGCCAAGTATCGCATTGCGAAGATTAGCACCGCGTGCTTGATTCTGTTGGTCTGGTAAGTTGATTGATTTGACACGCATAATTCTCGGGACAGTAATGGTTGGCTAACCGGTGATGTATAGGTCTACCTTCTCTTCTTGTTTCGCGACAGGAGCGCTCCAGACTCTTTCCGCTTCGAGTATTATCTTCGTGGTTCTGTTTAACATTGCGCTGTATATGTTCCTTACGGCTGTTTGCTTTTACTGTTCTCGCCCGCCGAGGATCATCTCTGGTGTGTCGTTTACGGTGAAATGGAAGACGTTCTATCCCTTCCAGCAGATGAATCCTCAGGAGACTATTGCCGTGTGCTTCTGTGGTCCGGCGAAGAGTACTGCGCTGGGGATTCCGCTCCTCTATGCCATGTGGGGCCCGTTGAGTCTGTATATCAAGTCGAAGACGTCTGTGCCTGTGCTGCTGTATACCACGGAGCAGATTTGCGTGGCGCATTTCTTTGTGCATATGTTCAAGTGGTGGCATCGGCGGGTTGAAAGGAAGAGTGCTAGTGTGAGCGATGTGGAGTGTGATGGAGAGGGGAATGCAAATGAGAATGGGGAGAAGATGGACTGTCCACTGTCCGAAGCTGCGTGCGGGAAGGATCTGGCGGATAAGGGCAAAGGGGCAGGTGTGAGTTTGTCCCAGGAAGGTAATAAGTAATCGTAATAAAGCATAGACAAGCATTCAGCACATAGAGTTTACATAGAAAAGGAATCGTATATAACATAAAGGCAACCCGCGTGCCCCAATCACGCAGTCAAACAAGGTCCCTGGCGTTTGACATCTAGAAAGGCATATAGACAAGGGAAAAGAGTAGCGGAATTTATTGCTCATCAAATGTAGCTCACTTTCACTCCCATCCCGACAGTCCCCTTGATTTTCTGCCAACCGGAGCCTGTTATCCTCCGGATGCGCTCCCGCACGTCTTGTCGGCTTAATGCGGCTATGATGCCGAGCATGAATAAAAGCGTCCGCGCGAATGATAGTGGGTTGCCCGCGATGCTCTTGCTGACGTATTTCAAGATATTACGCACCACGTTGATCAGTGCGCGTGATTGCTTGGCCCGCGCCTCGGGCTTCTCGGTCTTTTTGATATTCTTGGAACCAGGAGGTGAGAAGGCCGTCCGACCCGCGGAGGTACCTGATTTGCTGGATTGCTTCTCTGCGAACCTCCCTTTGCCCTTAATGCTGCCATTGGGATAGGTCTTCTCAATCCCGTAATCCACCTCACTACCGCTGCGTCCATGTGCTTTCTGCGCACGTTCAGCAGCCTCAGCTTCCTCTACCCTGCGACGTTCTTCCTCTCGCGCTTGTCTCTCTAGCTCAGCATCCTTCTCCCGCTGGAGGGCAGCGGCGCGCAGCTCCCCTTGCTGTTTCTCTTCTTTCAGGCCTTCTAGCGTCTGCAGAAATCGCTCCTTCCGGTCCTCATCGAGAACTTCGCTCAAGTTGATGAACTCCTGCGCATATTCCCACTCTTCATTTGCGGGAAGAACATGTAGGGTGAACAGCTCGATTATCTTGACCCTAACAGCCAGGTCTTTCGGGGTATCCGTACCACCATTTGCCCGCGGTGTAGATGAGCCACTAGTCAGATGGTCTGATATATCCAGATTGGGTTGTCCGTAAGACGATAGGTATGTTTCGAGTCGTTGTTGATTGAGTTTCTGTGAAGGCGAGTGTTTCAACAGGAGGGTTGCTCTGCGGTAAACGACCATTGTCAGTAATGAAAGTAGCTGGAAATTCGACGTGATGACTGACAGGTTATATACGACTTCTGCATCCACTGATCCCTCCAAGCCTCTATACCCCGTCCGTACAACGGTCTCCCAGATCTCACCATCGCGAACGGTGGTCGAGATGGCCTTCCATTCTTTCTGCCCAAACAACTTCTTGCCTTCTTCAGGTCCTAATTCAATGATTCGGCTCAAGAGTGTAATGTACAGATTCCACACTTTAATCCGCCAAGTCGGCTGGGCTGAAGCAACGGGCGCGACGGAATCATCGCCATTGACGAACTGCTCGTCGGCTCCCCTGACCACCGTAATCGCAGGCTCAAGGGCTGAAAGTGCTTCTTGTAACCGTAGTGTCAGAAAGAGATTTGACGCCTTCTTATACGTTTTTGAGCAAAACTTGGAGGGAGACAATGAGGATGTGGACGAGGAGAGGAGTTGCGACTGGGACGCCGACATGTAGGAACTATCGTCGGCCATTGTTCACCGCCAGCGGAAAATGCGACGGATCGGAAAGAGGAATCAAAGAAGGGAAATCGAATGGAACGTGCGCGGCTATCAATAAAGGCAGAAACTGCACGAGAGATAAATGGACGCGATCGAATTGGAGCTCTGGGTGGTTGGGACGGTAGAGGGAACAGCGTGACACTAAGTTGGGCTAAGAACAATGCTTGGACTGGAGGGATTTCAGCATCACCTCGGCTCATGCGTTTCGCTGGCCGAGAGTCTGGGGTCTGATGTCACGGGACGCCGCTGCCGGAAACTCCCCAAAATAGACTCTCCACGCCTGAGGCCTCCAGGCACAGCTCCAGTCGCGGGAATCCAGTGACGATCTTCCCCTCTCCATCATTCATCCATTCATGAATCTTGCTGGAATTCGTTGCTTGTGTCTCGGCTGTTCCTTCTCTGGTATTGCAGTGCAACCGGGTCTAGAATCTTCCGACTCTTATGACAAGCTTCTGACTGGGGATCTCACAGTATTCTTTGTTTAGGCTGATCCCCTATCTACTACTCCGTCCTGATTCACCTATTCATTAACACAATAGCCAGATACGCATCCCTTGTATCTGCCTTACTTCCACTCTTCAAGTTTTATATATAATTGACTCTCCTTTGCACGGTGCTACTGCATCGTTGGACTGCCGAAAACCATGGATATATCCGCCCAAACATTCTTCTACCACCTGCCCAGAGTATTGGATGACCTGGCATCCTGTTGTTTCGTATCTATAGACTTTGAATTCTCTGGCATCGCCAAAGGTCTTGGACCTTCTCCCAAGAGCAGAAGCACCTTGCAAGAGCGCTATGAAGAAGTCAAGAATTCTGCTGATCAATACCAAATACTACAAGTTGGCTTGACTATCTGCCATGAGGATCCGGAGACAGGTTAGACACACATGTCCACCACTCCAGGTTGGTGTGTTAATAGCGCAATCACAGAAACGTACACCTTGAAGCCATATAATCTATACTTGAGCCCAATCATCGACCGGAAGCTGGATCTAGACCGAAATTGTTCCTTCCAAAGCAGTGGTATGCTCGTTTCAAAGCTGCCCGCATCCCGTTAACCTAATACGATCTACTTAGCCGTCGAGTTCCTCCTGGAAAACAAGTTCAGCATGGAAGACCTATACAAGAATGGCGTCACCTACTTGTCGAGAGACGAGGAAAGTCGAATAATGGCCAGGGTCATGCAGAGAAATGAACGCACGACAGCACGCAGCTCTCTGGATGTCGCGGACCATGAGCATGAGTCTATAGCCTTTCTAAAGGATGCTCGCCGTCTTGTAGATGATTGGCTGGCGCTTGGTAAAGTAATAAATTCGGTCACATTTAGTACTGCTTTTCTGACCGTGATAGCAGGCCCGGGAGAATTACCTTAATATCCCGCCACCTAGACCTATTAATGGACCTGCTCCACCCAATCACCCCAAATCTATGCCAACAGACCTCAATAGGTTTCAAAAGAGGCTTGTGCATCAGCTCATCGAAGTGGAGTATCCGAGTTTGGTGACTGTCAGTAGGCCGGGATTTATACAGATAATCGACTACGACGAACAGCGCGAGAAGGCCGTTCGCGATCAGAGGGTGAAATGGGTACAAGAAAGGATCTGGAAACAGACTGGATTCAGATGGATCGCGGAGGCGCTAGCTGGGGGCGATCTGACCAACCTTGAGCCTTTCTGCTTCATCAATTTGATGTCGTCTTCGAAGGAGAACCCCCAAAGTTCCCTTCAGGACTTCTCGCGGAGGGTGAAGCAGCGTTTGCAGAAGAATAGGCCTATTCTAGTGGGCCACAACCTCTTCACGGACTTGATTTACTTTTGTCGGTGCTTTTTTGGGCCTCTCCCGGACCGTGTGGAGGATTTCCAAGCCATGGCTCACAAGATGTTCCCGGTGTTGATGGATACGAAGTATATGGCTACACACAACTGTGGCTCCATCAATCCCAGGTCTTCCCTGCAGGAAATCAATGACAGCCTCGCTGCACAGCCAACACCAGCAATAAGTAGGTCAATAGCTATGTTGTCGTTCCTCACTAATGTCAATCAGGTATACACCCTCAGTTTACCAAGTACAATACGCGGGCAATTGATCACGAGGCCGGCTTTGATAGTTTGCTCACTGCTCAGGTCTTCATAAAACTTTCTGCACAGCTCCGAGACAGGGGAACTTCCGGAATTCCGCCAACAGTTCCAAAGACGCCTCAACCCAGTGAAAATACCAAGGAGCCCACGAAGCAGGTCATCGGCGACTTCGAGGCTACTGTCGTCCTACCTAGAGGTCCCAAGTCGAACAACGTCCGTATTATGTTCGGCTCTATTGAAGTTGAAAAAGTCGTCCAAGACAACGGCGGCAAGGACGCTGGCGAGGTAACCAGAATTTCCCTAACACCCCACGACTCTCCTGAGACACAGAAGAAAGCCGACGAGGGCCGATTGATTCCACGCTTAGGCGCGCAATTCTGGGAGATTTATGGAAACAAATTGCGCGTCTTTGGTACGAATGAGAGGGTATGCCACATTGGCTAGGCCCTCTTAAAAGCCAGCCGACATGCCCAATGAGCGTTGACCACTCACTACACTCCATAATTACGATAATAATAGCTCCTAGATACCAGAATACCTAGTTTGCATAATGAAATAGCAACAGCTACAGTCTCCATAGGCGAAGCCGTATGAATGAATGTATGCAGCGTCTATCTAACAGTACGCCTTGATTTGAGAAGGTACCGCTAGCGAAAAATGGCCGCAAAAACCGCTCTGAGCACCGGAAAATGATCGACTGGTCGTGGTTACTCAACGCAGTGATGATAAGGAAAGGTGCCGTAGAGAAGAAATGAACAGAAATGGGCCGCACTGCAGAACTTTTAAATCAAGCGGAATGATGGGTCACATGACATACTAGCCCGGTCGGGACTAGCTCCGTCCCGACGCTCCCTCGCAGGTGACCGCCAACTTTTCTCGCTATATCGTCGGCCTCCGGACCTGTTGACAAGTACCCCAGCATATAACCAACACATTCGGAGATGTCGTCAGGGTCCAATGGTGCCAGGCGCGTAGCGTCGCTTTTGCGTATGTGCTTGCCGATCTGAAATTCAAAACCAATGCGTGTCCGTACTGACTGCTCCAGGGCCTGCGATCTCCGATCCCAGAGTGTGCAGAAGCTGTCAAGAGACGCTTGTCCGCCGCAGTTACGCCACGGCCTCTACACAGGCTTCCACAGAAACTCCCTCCGCCGCCGCATCAGCCTTCCCCGTCGTGAAGCCCATCCATACCATCAAGGCCGGCGTGGTCCTCTCCCGTCCCCCTCAAATCACCCGCGACCTTACCGACTTCGAGAAGGCGTACTATTTCTACCAGAAGCGATTGAACGAGCGTCTCCAGCTACCTTTCACGAAATACTTCTACTTCAAGCGTGGAACGCCCGCCGACGAGGACTGGAAGCGCAAGATCCGCGAGCGCCAGACCCCCGCACGCGACATCGGCAAGTACAACCCGTACTCGAAGGAGGCATGGAACGATGAACTCCTCGTTGGAGCCGTCGAGTCGGACCCGGCCCACCAGGTGGAGATGCTTGTGCAGGATGCGGAGTCGACGGTCAATGCCACTTCTCAGGATACTAGCAAGAAGGAAGAGATCCCGAGACCCTTCCCCCGGGTGACGGAGGCGGACCAGAAGAACGATCAGAGAAGCCTCAACCGGGCACTGCAGAGGACTCTCTATCTCCTTGTGCAGTCCAAGGATGGATTCTGGACGTTCCCCAGCTCTCCTATTGTGGCTGAAGAGACTCTCCGTCAGGTAAGTTCCGCTGACTCTGCTCAGTGTTTCAGCAGCGGCAGTGAGCGCTAACGCTATCTGTCAACAGGCCGCCGAACGTACCCTCGAGCAAGCCGCCGGTGTCAACATGAACACCTGGATGGTCGGCTACCACCCCGTGGGCCACTACGTCTACAACTTCCGCAACCCGAGCAAGCTGGCAACCGGCCCCGCAGGCGAGAAGGTCTTCTTCATGAAGTCGCGCATCATGGCCGGCCAGGCCGATCTTTCCGGAAATGCTCAGAACCTGACCGACTTCAAGTGGCTGTCGAAGGACGAGATTTCGAAGTTTGTGAAGCCGCAGTACTACGCCAGCGTCAAGAACATGCTGGCCGATCGGTAAGCCGGTGTTTCTTAGGTGTGATGGAGTAGTAGTGTATGGATATGGATAGTTGTCGTTGTGCGGACTTGTTTCTTTCTCCGAGGGGATGTAGCCCTTGGTTGGTAGTACAGCAGGTCTGAGTCTTGCATATATCATCTCGTCGGTCATGTATAACTAGCTTTTATTGTTTTCTTTTTCGCTTTCTATTTGCAATGAAGACCTTTCTTGTTCCTAAGACTATCCCGAATCAACCGAACGCCATGCACATTCCTTCCCAGTTATAGTGGCAATAGACATAAGTAGGTATCTTAAATGCAGAAGAGAATAACTGATGACTACTTCAAGTTGAACTTCTGCCCCGTAATAGCGGGCTGATTTTTCGACGAGCTCCCCGTCAACCCCTTCCCACACATCGGACACGCTATACGGCGTTAGCAAAATTACGCTTCAATAGTAAGGTAAAAAGAAAGAAAACGAACCATTCTTCTGATACGCACACCGCTGACAATACTTCCTCCCCTGCTCCGTCTTGGTTTTGCAAACCTCACAGGAGGAAGCATACGCCGCGTAGGGGTTCTTAGCTTTGGAGCTGAGGAGTTTGCTCTGGCATTTCATTAGCATAAGTATCATCATCGCGTTATATAGTAGTAGCAACAATAGTAGTAGTCGTAAAAAATAAGGAATGCTAGAATAAATGATATACATACCTTCCCAATCCCCGTGCTCCCCAATGTACTAGACTTCGCTTTCCCTCCAGCAGCACCAGCACCAGCACCACTGCTACTGCTGCTACTGCTACTACCACCGAGCGTTGTGGCTGGTGAGCCATAGTACATTTCTGTTTTGCGTTTCACGCCGGGAGTGGCGAGCTCCGTTTGTTTGAGTTTCTTTTGGCATTTGGCGCAGACCATTTTCTCTTGCTTTTATTACTTTTGGTGGGGGCGGGTTGAAGGGAGAAGTGAGTATGAGCAGTTATATGTTGAGATGGTGAAAGGTGGTGAAAGATAGTTTGATGGGAGTATGTCGGGATAGGAAGTATTGGATGGATGGATGATGGGTGGAGAGTATTGGAGGGATGATGACGCCAGTTGCTTGGTTGGTAGTGCTAAACTAAACTGCACCCGGGTTTTGCGTCGTGGTGGGGTGTGGGGTGCCGTAGTTGGGTTGGGGGTATACATTATTACATTCAGTTGGTAGCTACGGTGGATGTTGGTTTCGTAGGTTGGTTATATGGTTTTGAATACATCTTTACTTGCTGTGGGAAGTCATCGAAAAAGTTGCTATGTAATGTAATTGATTTGGTTGAGTAGTATCCCCTACTCTCAGCTGGTCAATACTAATATATACTGTCATATGATATTCGGTAGCAGTGTCAGTAGTGTCAGATGTACTAGTCGGGGTGATCATCAGAGTACTCCAATGAGCAGCACTGTACTAGTTGTCCATGCTTGAATAGCACAAGGTTCTCTGCAGGGTGTGCTGCAGTCCGGCTTGAATCAGTCACAAAAAGTGTTGGACCCATGTTATATCCTCACACATCCCGCCGATCCATGCATATATCAGTCCGGAACATTGTGATTCCATGTTGCATTTGGAATATCGCTGCAGTTGAATGTATACGGAGTGCTTCAGAAGAATATGCAAAGTGTGCCGAGTGTACAATAGATGCCTATACATCTGAAATGCCTGCTTTGATCTTAGTATAGCTCCAGATGCCCTTGACCATTAGTAACACATCAAGGGTGAAGAGGCGCAGCGACAAGTCGTTGATATGCCTATTTGCTAATTATTATAATCCAGAAATTAGGCGAGTCTAGACAGAACATCCGAAGTCCATATTGAAATCCGGCCGATATGAAATGCCGTCCGGCTTTAGTTTCATCGGCTGAAAAAGCACGTTAGCAATCACAAGCACATTGCAATACCGATCGATCTGTATAACTGGGATATGCCCTTGGTTTTCCAGAAAAGCTCACCGGGTGTGAAGGATAATTGCAGTCCATCCACACTTCAGAGCAGCCATCAAGTGCCGGGCGGAGATCTAGCGCTTTTATCATCAAGTTGGGCGCCTGCCAACCCCGACTGTCGCCCAAAGAGTGGCAGGTGGATGTATAAAGCTAGTCTTCGGAGAGGGCATAGACAAGAAGCTAACAGCCTCGTCAAGAGGATCACGCCTTTTTCGCCCAGGCGCCTCGGATCGTGACAAGTCATAGTTCGACGGGTATTTTCCAAGTCACCATGCCTTAGCCCCGAATAAGGCCAATGACGGTGTGCTGACTTCGGAAACCAAGAACACCCTGCACCTGCAGGTAAGCATATTAACCATTTAATATCTGGCCGCATTTCTTCAGGCCTCGGGGACGTTCATACATAGGATGGTGCACTAGGCGACAGCGATGCAGCCCTTTTGATTCATGGCCAATGTTTCGAGGTACGGGCGCGATGGTGTGCACAACCACCCGCAACCCGAAAGGGCCACATGCGTATGCCTCCCGGACGGCAGTAAGCAGGCCAAAATAGAATCACGGCTGACTGGCCATGGAAGACGGGAAGAAGAGAAAGCAAGTAGATAAGATGAGCGGTGATTGCTGACCATCGTGGCCTCCGAGTGGATGTGGCAACAAATTGCCCGTCTTAAATCCTTCTCGTTCGCACAACCCAACTTTCCCTCCACTTCGGCTTCAGCTCTTCCACGACATCCTCCCCCTCCAATTCTGACAGCCAATCCCCGACTCGCTTGGGCTTTTTGAAATTTCGTGCAGATGGGAGCTGGACACTCAGCTGCCCTGAACAAGGCGACCCTCCCTCCCACAACTCAGACTTGCGTGGTCCTCCCCAAAAAGCTGTTTGTCTCCCAAAGCTGCAGGATGACCCGCCACTCCTGAACTGGTCTGCATTGGACGGCGAGTTCCAGAGCCCAGGCTGGAATAGCAAACCTGCAAAGACGGGAACTCTTCGCTATGCACCAGGCAGGGGAAAGCAAAGAAGAAAAGTAAATAAGGAAAAAGCGAAAAGCGAAGGGCAACCAGAGGAGAACGGCACAGAAAAGCAAAGAAAGGAAGGAAGATGCAAGCACGGGTCGCCGTGCTACCCAGGTTCCTGGATACTGTTGAGCAATGATCGCCTGTTCCAGCGCCGTGGTTCGTCTGGTTGGACATCGCTCTTTCTGCCCAGACCATCACCCTGGGGCCAGCTCGCTGGTTCCCTGACCTGACTCTTCTATAAAGCGGTCCTTCGGGTGGCATCGCCACGGGCTGGTTTCTTTAGCTGGGATGTTGTCAGATCACCGCCAGTCGCGTTGGACTGGTTATAAGTCTTTGTTCTGGTACTGTTCGTGCGTGTCTCAGCGCACAGCCAGCTAACTGTACGTCTCCCATCCTCGCCTTACCAACCCCCCCTCAGGGCATCTCCTTTTTTTAAAGGACTCTTTTCAAACTGACCCTGACATAGTCTAGCGGTTTTCAATCATTTGTGTTTTTGCTTTTTCCCCCAGACACTACTTGGGCGCCCGGACCAGGCTTGGTTTGCTACTAGCTTATTGATTACCGACTCCTTTCCCCTGCCTTCACCTTTCTTTTTCTCAGGGCCCAGAACGGCAGGTTGACCTTGAGCACGTCGTCAAGAGGTCGGGAATCCCTTGCTTCAAGGTGGAATCGGAACTGAATCTTGCCCACACCGCACGCTTCTTCTCTTTCATCTTCCATCCCTCCACCTCAGCGGGCATCCCTCATTACACTCCCACGAGCTGTCCGCCCAAAGTCCTAAGTGCAAACCTAAAGTAAGGATAAGAGGGCCCTTGAGTGACTCGCCTACTTAGTGTCATCACGGTAGCACGGAAGCTTCGCGCAACGAACCAGGGGACGTCTCTTAGTGGTTACTCCAGTGCTCGAAGGAACGAGAGGAGATAAGGAAAATGCCCCCCAGCAGTTCGTCTTTTACGGCGCTGAATCTGCCCTCGACATTTTCGCTACCGCCATGCATGGAATACTTCACCCTCACCGCCGGCCCTAATACGGACCTTTGGCGTAAGCCACCAAACCGGGATACTGCAACGGCTCCTATCGTGTTCACATCCTTGCGGAGCCCATTTGTAGTTGCCGAGGTCACTGTCACGGCGGACTGGGAAATGGAATGGGACCAGGGTGGTCTGGTGATCTTTGCCGGAGCCGCGCCGCAGTCATTCTCGCCAGACAGTACTCCACGATCGGGCCGCCCCGGATACCCTCAGCCGTTACGACCCTGTAAATGGGTCAAGGCCGGGATGGAGTTCAGTTCGGGCACGATGAACGCATCCTCGGTAAGCGCAACCTCCGACGGCGCGGACTGGTGTCTCTCGCCACTGTCGATCCCCGATCGCGGTCCATCGGCTATGCATTCGTTACGAATCAAATTAGAGCGAGTCGGACATTCGCTCTGGATATGGTACCAGGATCCATCAGCGGTGCCGTATGCGGCGAGTCCAGCGGCCGTGAGCAGCACGTGGAAGAAGCTGCGGGAAGTAACATGGTTCTTCTACGGGGTAGAAGACAAGTTCGTCCACGTGGGCGTCTATGCCAGTCGACCGCATAGTCTACCTCGCACCGGGACGATGTGGGCGATGGCCAATGGTCCGGGGGTGGCCGGATCGGCGGCGGCATCAGCGAACGAAGGGTTGGTGGTCGAATTCGAGGATCTGGAGATCTTGTAATTTTTCTGTCTTATCTCGTCTTAGCAGCATTGCTTTGGTTCCAACTACGACCATTGAGCGCTTATGAGTCGATGAGCTTTCTTTCTCTTTGGACTTTTTGGGCTGGTTGGGTTCAGGAGCCTGGTGCATTGCGGGAGATAGCGAGCATGAGTCTATGTTATGGTTGGAGCGATTGCTGAGACATGAGCATTTGTTGAGTTTGGCTGTTCAACACTTACCGATTTAATGAAGAGTTAATATGATCTTTTCTTTCATACTTAGCTATACCCACGAAGCAAATTATGTCGATACACTTTATACAACGGTCTTTATTTCACACGTATGACCACTCAAGAACCAAGAAACTGCCTCTCCCTGAAAGCTGAGCTAAGGAGACGAAGATCATAAGATCTAGACCCGCCCTTCATTTGGAACCTCTAGAATTGTATTCCTACTACACCAAGTACTTTGTAGCATTTCCCAGAGAAAGCAACACATGCTAGTCATGTGACTCAACTAAACTATGCTCGCCTAAAGTTATGTATTCTCTCCTCTTCTCCTACCAGTATTGTCTGTTATACTTCCTGGATACGAATATCATCACAGCAATGTATTGCGGGGAGCGTCAGGAATCAATTTCACAAGGAGAATTACCATACTACTCTATGATAATCCCCACATGCTTCGGAAGAAGATAAGGAAACCTCAAGGTTCCTGTCTAGTGCTGGGGTGAGGTTGACACAGTATGCGGGGTTACTCCGAGCCCTTCGGGATTTCGTGGGAATGATGCGCGAGAGGCGACTACTTGCGGTTTGTTGGCATGCATGCATCACACATAAGTATTTCTATGCTTTCTTGTCACTTTTTGTTTCACTTTCCTCCTTTTATTTTCCCCGGCCATGACCAGCCAGATCTTGATTGAAACCCCTACAGTTGAGCAACACTCAAATGGGTTTGGCATTGGAACTGCGACTCCGCGTCTGTCATGGCGATTTCTCACCACCGACAGTAGTCCTCGCGACTGGGAGCAGACGGCCTACGAAGTGGAAGTTGTTCGTTCCGGGTCTCGAGAGGAAACCGATCATGTGAACAGCCATGCATCGGTGCTGGTCCCTTGGCCCAGTGGCCCACTACAATCCCGAGAAATCGCACAGGTCCGTGTTCGGGCATACGGGTGCAGCGCCGGCGAGGAGCCGCAGGGTGACTGTGCCACCGCTTGGTCTCCCTGGCGGACCATTGAGTGTGGACTACTCGACCGCGCTGACTGGGTAGCCCGACCTATTGCCAGCCCCGAACATCCACAGCCAGATAATCCATTGCGGCCGGTGCGGTTCCGGAAGGAATTCCAACTTCCTGCAGCGAGTACCATCGACAGGGCCCGACTCTATATCACCAGCTTTGGAGTATACCGCGCCTTCGTCAACGGGCATCGGGTGGGGGATCAGTGTCTCGCCCCCGGATGGACCAGCTACCGCCATCGCTTGAACTATCAAGTATTCGACATCGCGCCCCTCCTGAATGCTGAAGGTCCTAATGTCCTTGCGGTAGAGGTTGCAGAGGGCTGGTACGCCACTCGTCTTGGCTTCCTTGGTGGGCGAAGACAGCTGTATGGCGATCGCCTGACCGTGTTGGCACAATTGGAGATCCAACTTGGACCTAAGGGAGACCGATTCTCCATATGTACTGATAGCACCTGGACATGTACTCCCAGTGCCATCATCCGGAGTGAGCTCTATGACGGCGAGGTTTACGATGCTCGTGAAGAGAATCCGACCTGGAACTGCTCGCTGCTTGACCAGGCCTCTTGCTGGGTGGCCGTCCGGGAACTTGACTTCCCAACCGCGGCCTTGGTGGCACCGAACGCTCCTCCAGTCCGTATCACCGAGGAGATATCTCCAGTCTCCGTCCAGAAGGCCCCATCCGGTGCCACCGTCATCGACTTCGGCCAGAACCTGGTCGGTCGACTTCGCGTGCGCTCGTTGAACAAGCCCTCGGGCTCTCGCGTTTCCTTCATCCACGCCGAAGTGCTTGAGAATGGCGAGCTCGGGGTTAGACCCCTGCGACACGCCAAGTGCACCGACGAAGTCATTCTAAATGGTACAGAGCTGGTAGATTGGTCGCCTGAGTATACATTCCACGGGTTTCGATTCGTCCAGGCCAATGGTTGGGATGAAGAAAGCGATGGATCACTGCTCCTCAACATCAAGGCGCTCGTGATGCACACTGATATGACCCGCAGCGGATGGTTTTCCTGTTCGCACCCAATGATCAATCAGCTCCACACCAATGCCTGGTGGAGTATGCGTGGGAATTTCCTGTCCATACCTACAGACTGTCCCCAGAGGATGAACGCCTTGGCTGGACCGGGGATATTCAGATTTTCTGCCCATCGGCCAACTTCCTCTACAATACTGCTGGCATGCTGAGCGACTGGTTGCAAGATGTCGCGGCCGAGCAGCTGAGGGAGAAAGATGGCTGCGTGCCCCCGTTTACAGTCCCCAATATCATTAGTGAGACCCTGTGGCCGCATACGCCGCAGGCCGTGTGGGACGATGTGGTGGTCCTAACACCCTGGGCCCTCTACCGGTCATATGGGGACAGCGGAATCCTCCGCCGTCAATACGAAAGCATGCTCGCCTGGATCGATCGCGGCATCCGTCGCGGCTCGGATGGACTCTGGGACCCTGAACTTTGGCAACTGGGAGACTGGTTAGACCCAACAGCGCCGCCAGAGGAACCCGGGGATGCACGCACCAGCGGAACCCTCGTCGCTGATGCCTATCTCGTGCACATCACCTCGGTGATGTCCGAAATCAGCCAGGTCCTCGGCCAGAGCCAGGATGCCGCACGATTCCGGGCGGACTATGATAGACTCAAGACGAGGTTCCAGGCCAAGTATATAACGGCCACTGGGTTGCTAGTCGGCGATACCCAAACGGCGCTTAGCCTTGCCATTGTGTACGACCTTCACTCCACCCCCGAAGCAGCGCATGCTGCAGCATCACGTCTCGTACACCTCGTACGGCTCGCCAAGTTTCGCGTTGCCACCGGGTTCGCGGGCACTCCAATCATCACGCATGCTCTCACCAAGAGCGGACATCCCCAGATCGCCTACCGGATGCTGCTGGAGAAGTCTCGCCCATCGTGGATGTACCCCATCACCATGGGAGCGACGACCATGTGGGAGAGGTGGGACAGCATGCTCCCGGACGGGTCCATCAACCCTGGCGCAATGACCAGCTTCAACCACTACGCCCTGGGTTCGATCATCAACTGGCTGCACTCTACAGTAGCCGGCGTCAGCCCTCTAGCCCCAGGCTGGAAGCACATCCAGATCGCTCCGACACCTGGGCCTACAATTCACTCCGCTGAAGCCATGTACGATACTCCTTATGGGCGACTAGAATGCCGGTGGTCGATCGAGACTGATGCAGACCGCTTCCACATGGACCTGTTGATACCGCCAAACTCTCGTGCGCGCGTGATCTTACCGACTCGGGAGAATCTATCACAGCCCGTTGGTTCTCGTGAAGACGGAGGCTTTTGGGTGGGTTCGGGGCGTCACAAGTTCTCAACGACCTTCGAGTGGATGGATTACTCTAGGGACTGGCCACCGAAGCCTCTGATTCCGATTATGCGTAAACCTGAACCGGAGGATATTGCGTGAATTTCCTCTACTATCTAGAACATCTCGACCTCCTAAACATCATTCAAGGTACCCCAGGTGGAGTATAGATGTGATATACCTGACTACTAGGCACTGACTAGGTTTTGATATGATATAAGGTATAATATACAATCCTAGTCACGTGAACAGCAAGTCATAGTCAGTCAAAGCAGGAGTAGTGATGAGAGCTGATGCATGTTCAGTAAGTAAACAATGTGTAGAAGCCCTCACGTGGTGTTGTCACCTAGGGGCGTCACTTGCAGCAACACTTTGGTGGTGGCAGTTCGAGAGAAACATATCTGAGTGTATAGTATTGGGACCAATCATTGAGATCGGTTCCTCTAATTTCTGGCATTACAAGCCCCGGCGTATCAGTCTGAAGGTCATGATGAAAGAGAAGACTATACCGACCAAATCCAACTCGGCCGTTAGACAGAACAGCATAAAGCCGAAAACCGACGTACTCCTTCCAGGTACATAGTACTTAGTACTTAGTAGCATCATTATCTCATAGACATTCAGATGATACTATGATCGTCATAGTTGATAGTAGCACAATCTAGGCTGTGAACTACCTAAAATTCTGGTTGTTTGTTTATTTTTACTTAGTTATTCATCCAACAACTTAGTGACTAATCCACATACAAAAAGCATCTACATAGTAGAAATCTCAGCTTGAGTATTACTGCTAGGATCCATGTGACGATCCCGCGCCACTAAGGCATCTTCGATTCGCTGCCCGAGGCTCGAGCTCCTCCATCTCCTCGCAGATATGTGAACGAGGCAAGCGGACTCCGAGAAAACGCCAACCAATCATGAATCTAACTGAGGGGGAAGCATTGTAAGTACTAGAGATAAAATCTAAATAGAGTTTACGGACTAGACTACTACATTTTTTCTTACTCGCTGTTGAACTGTTTATTAATACCTTCTATACTTTGTTCCTATGCAGGAAGAAAGGAAAAAAAAAGTTACCCAACTACGTCAGAATGTGAGAAATGACGACGACAGATGTTTTGTTTTTGTGTTGCCCAGTCAGTCATGACTCAGTTGGTAATTGCCGTGATCTGGTTTCTGGTTCCATGGCTGGAATTGGGGGGGAAGGGGATACTTGGGCTCCACTGCGATTTATAATGGAATTGGAATTTGTCTGGCTGGTTTAGTCGAGGCCCGGGGAGATGGGGGTTTATTGGATAGGGGGAGGGACTGAGAAATACGAGTCTATTTGATGGAGTAGAGGATATACGGAGTACTATGGATAGATAGTGGATGGGGGGGAGAGAGAGAGAGGTCAATAGGGGAGGGAGGAAGCGAGAGGATGAAATAGGAAAAAGGAGAAAGTTGCTCAGTGGTTTTATGACTCATTATTGTATTCATTATTAGTTTAGTTATGCTGTTGTTCAGATCAGTTCGTTACCCTTTCCACCGAATGGTGGTTTAGGAAATTATCGATATGATTTCTTATTCGTAGGTGCAATGAAACTTGTGAACTTGCAGGGCACTACATACTTATCTTCTACTGGACGAGAATATCATACACCTGACCTGAAGGAACTGCGGGTTTCGCTTTTGCCAACACAGCAATCCTCCGACCCGTGAAAGTATGATGATGCTGATGATGATGTCTTCTTGTTATGCAGCGACTAAAGCATAACACCGGGAATTGCGGAGGCGAACATGTAAGTGCAAAACAGATGGGGACTGGACTGGACTGGACTGGTACTTATTGACCTACATATGCTGTGCAGCGGGATCCGATGCGATCGGATCTATCTGTCTCTCCATCTATTCCCCAGGTAACTATCAGGTTTAGATCGGATTTGAGGTACTTTAGTATAGTTCCTCCTTCAATAATTGGTGAATTGGTAAAGGTGGCTTAACCAGAAACGAGCGAAGTAAATACTGCTAGTACTGGGTATTTTGTTGTTGTTGTTGTTGATATGATGGACTTTTTTTTCCCTGTCTTCTGATTCGGGACGCTTTCCCGCCGGTGCCGAGTTGCCCTGCGAAAAAGTAAAGGTCTTTTTCTTTTCTTTTCGGCGAGCTGCGGGTGGAGGTGCCGGTGGTGCCACTAATTCAGCCTAGTTTAGTTTTCTAGTACTAAGAGAGTTCTCCACTATGCCGGGCCAGTCAGTCAGTCACTCGCTCCATCAGGGATTTTTTCTTTCTTTTGTTTTTCTTTTGGTTCCAACGTTCCGCTGAACATCATAGGGGAAAATCAGTCGCAGAAAAGAAGAACAAGAGAAGATAACTTAACTGCAGCAGAGAAAATCCTGTTCCCGACTACATCCTGCATCAAACAAAACCTGCATTGTAAGCAGCAGCAGTCGATGTTCCAGGAAGAATGTGTAGTACCTTCACCAGTCCTCCGAACCGTAAGAGCTTGCTTGTGAAAGGCGCATGTCCAGGCTTATCTTGCATCGCAAGGTCTCTCATCGTCTCTCTTCTCACCTCGCATGATTGGTGCCCTCAAAGCCACACCACTTCACCGCATTTTTCCCTTTCCCAGGCGCTCGTTAGCTTGAAAAGGATCGGCGAATGTGATGCCAATAATTCCTCTCTTTCTTTTCCTCTCCGGACTGCGGCGCTTGTAATGCGAACGGCCTCTCATTGGAGCCGGACCAACGCCTGCGCCTCGGCTTTTCCAGCAATCATTCCGGTCTGATATGGCTTGATCATTCATGCTTTTGCAACTCGCTCCTCGTAGGTTTTAGTTTTAACCTTGGGTCTAATTCTGCCGTTTCCCCCCTCCCTCATTGATTGTACCATTATCAGTGGTCATCCACACCCACCTCTTCCTTTGCCCCCCCCCCCCCCCCCCATTGAAGAGCGGGTGAGGAGGAAAAATCAAAACTGTAGGTAGAAAAGTAGTTGTCCCCGGGCAATGGCATCATGGCGCGACCCTCCCAAACCAAAAAAAATCAAAATCATAACAAATCCTTACTAGGCAGAAGGGGGAAAAAACTGGAAATCACTGTGACAACTGCAGCTGCCCCGCCAACTGACCGGGCTAATTAACGGCCATCCTTACACTAGAAGGAGTGGACTAGATAGATAGTCAGTCATCCTGGGTCCCCATCGGTCTTCCGTGGGGACCGTAGAGTATTATTATTATTATTTACTGGGAAGAAATAGATACCTACTTACTACTAGTACTACTAAGCAAGTAACTGACGGGTGCTGGTACTGGGTTGCTGGTGCTATTCTTGTCTTGTCCTGTCCTGTCCTGTCCGTACGGCGCTGCTCCGTCCTACCAGTAATTTTTTTTTTCTCCTCCTCCTCCCCCTCCTCCCAATCTCTCCCTCTCCAACCTTTTGATTAGAATTTCCCCTCTCTTCCCAATCTTCTCTTTACTTCTACTTTACCTCTCTCATCATCCATCGCTGTTTGTTTGTACTCCCAAACAAAAGAGTCATTCTTATCAAACCCATCTTCCCATCTCTCCCCACCCCCATCCAATCTCGTCCTCATCTCTCCGCTGCCCCTCCAAGACATCCTCCCCCTCCCCTTACCTCCTCACTCCTCCTCATACACCTTTCAATTCCACCTCGGGAGGGCGCTGTCTTGTCCTACCACGCCGTTTGCCGTCTGATCGCCTGTATATTATTGCTTTTCCAGTCCATTGATATCCTTGCGGTGGCCCGTGGTCTGTTCTTGTCTTGATACCTCCAAGACTCTCAGAAAATCACAACAACAACAAAAAAGCCTAGTCGAGTCCAGCGTCTTACAGTTTTATCTTCCTCTTTTTCTTCTGTTTGCGTCTGTTGCATCTTAACGACTGTTACGACCTTTTATGACCACAATGGCCCACCCCGCTGGTGAGACCGTCACAATCTCTGTCCGTCGTCCGATTGACGATCCCGTCTTCGTGGCCGGCACTTTCTCCGAGCCGCAATGGGAGCCCCTCGAACTGAGCTCCAAGATGGTGGATACCGAACCGGATGAGGAGGGATTGGTTTCGACAGAATATCTATTCTATCGCGAGTTGGAGTTGTCCCCTGGTCAATATCAATATAGATTCCGCGAGGGCGCTTCCGGCCCGTGGTTCCACGACGAGGCTGTCAAACACGGTACGCTTGAACCTTCTTTCCCCCGACATTGCATCATCGCGCAACCCCTCTGAAGCTGACAAACTTACTTGCAACTACAGCCGCAGGGGAAGGAGGTCTGGTGAACAACTTTCTCACCGTCGGACCGAGCGGAGATGCCGCCGCAGAGACCGAGGAAGCCGCGCCGAAAGAGAACGGCGTCAATGGGGCCGCTGAGCATGCTGTCCCCGTACAGGAATCCGTCGTCGAGGAGAAGCCGTCCGAGCCGGTCCCCGAGCCGGAAGAAAAGAAGGATGCTGAAGTGACCGAGCCTGCCACCAACGGTGTCGCGGCACCTGAAGTCAACGGAACGGAATCCGCCGAGCAAACCTCCGACTCCAAGCACGAAGACGTTACGACGCAGAAGGCCGACGAGGCGACGGAAACACCTGCTGAGAGCCAGCCAGCACCGAAGGAAGCGGAAGAGGTTCCAGCTGCCCCCGCCGTCACCGAGGAGGTGAAGCCTGAGTCTGACGTCCAGGTCAAAGCTGAGGAGCAACCCGAGACTTCGACAGAGAGCGCCACCGTTGCGGACACCGAAAAGGCCGCCGAAGAGCCTAAACACACTGAGGTTACGGAGGAGGTCACGTCGAAGCCGGCAGAGTCTGCTCCAGAGCCCGCAGCGGAGGAACCGGTTCAGGTTGAGGTTTCGGGAGAGCAGCCCGTCGTGGAGGAAGTAACCCCCGAGGTTGCTGCCAAGGATGTTGCTGCTGAACCTGCTGTTGAAGAACCGGCCCGTGAGGAACCTGCCGCCGAGAAGCCGACGGAGTCTACTGTTGAAGAAGCTACTACGCAGGAGGCCCCCAAGGAAGAGTCCGCACCAAAGGAACTGGAGACCCCCGCTGCCGAGACGACTACCGAATCTACCGCAGAAGAGCCTACAAAGGAAGTGGAAGAGGTGAACACTACCGCTATCAAGACTGCCACTGAGGCTGCTCCCGAAGAGCCTGCGAAGGAGTCGGTTACAGAAGAGACAGCGGAAGCGCCCAGCACCGAGGTTCCGGCTACCGAGCCCGCTACGGAGGAACCTGCGCAGGAGGTCGCCAAGGAGGAAGTCAAGGCCGAAGAACCCGCCGAGGTGACCCCTGCTGCGGAGCCCGCCGTCGAAGAGCCCTCGAAGGAAGTGACCAAGGAGGAATCTACTCCGGAGCCCTCGACTGCTGAGCCTGCCACGGAAACCACGGACAAGGCCACCGCTGAAGAGGCCCCTGTGGAATCTGCACCTGTCGAGGAGCAGGCCAAGGAATCCGTTACCGACAAGGACGCTGTGGAGCAGCCCGCTGAGGAATCCGCCGCCCCTCAACCTTCCGAAGCCACGGTCGAAGAATCTGTCCCCGAGAACACCGTTTCTGAACAGACAGCGGAGGTGGCTACCGAACCTGTCACCGAGACCCCAGTTGCTGATGAGCCCACTGAACCGGCTGCGGAAGAAGCGCACGCTGAGCCTGCTGCGGAGAAGGTTGAGGATCTCAAGACAGAAGACCCTGCTGAACAAAAGGCAACTGAAGGTGCAGCTGAAGCTTCGATCGAGACGGAGGAAAAGACTGCCGAGCCCGCAGAGGAGCACCCTACAGAGGCAACCGCCGAAAACGCCGAGCCACCGGTCACGGAGATGCCGACAGAGGAGTCCGCTGAGCAGGTCACGGAAACCGCGGAAGAGGTTGCCAAGGAGGAGCCTATCCAACAGGAGTCTTCTAACGAGCCTGTTACCGAACAGGCTGCTGTTGATGCTGCGGCTGAAGAGACTACGGAAACCCCTGTCGAGGAGGTAGCGACTGAAATTGTTGCAGAAGAGGCACCTGTCGAGACTTCGACCACGGAGGTGGCTGAAGAAGCTGTTAAGGTTGACTCGGCTGTCGAAGAACCGGTGGCTGAGAAGCCTGCCGCAGAAGAATCTGCTGTCGAGGCTTCCGTTCCAGAGACGGCTGAGAAGCCTGCCGCAGAAGAATCTGCTGTCGAGGCTTCCGTTCCAGAGACGGCTGAGGAGTCTCCCAAGGAGACTGCTGCGGAGGAAGTAGTGGCTGAGGTAGTTGCGGAAGAGCCCGCTGCTGAGACCGTCGCTTCGGAGACTGTTGAAGAGACCGCCCAGCCTGCAGTTGAGGAACCGGCCACGGAGACTTCAGCCAAGGATGTTGTTGAAGAGCCTGCTCAGGAGCCCGCCCCTGAAGCCACCACGCAGACCGAGGAATCCGCGCCGGAGCCTGTCGTCGAACAGACTGCTCAGGAGACCCAGGCCGAGGAAGTTGTCGAGCAACCGGCTGTTGAAGAGCCGGTCGTCGAGGAGCCTGTGGCCGAGAAGACAGTTCAGGATGAAGAACCCGTCAAGGAAGACGAGCCTGAAGTGACGGTTGCACATGAAGAGACTGTGAAGGAGGAAGTCCCGGCTCCCCAGGAGCCTGCTCATGAAGAAGCTGCTCCCGCAGTCCCCGAGTCGCAGGAGATTGCTGAGGTCGTTGCTGAAGAGACCAAGGAGGCGGTTGCTGAAGAGCCTGAGAACGCAGCTGAAGCTCCGGCTGCTGAAGAGCCGGTGAAGGAGGAAGTCGTCGCGGAGACCAAGCCTGAAGAATCCCTTCCCGAGGAATCTACTAAGGAGCCTACCGCGGAGGAGCCTACTGTGCAAGACTCCCAGCAGACTGAAGAGCCCATTGAGGACACCGTCGCGGACGAGTCGACGGACGAGTCCTCCAACTTGGCTGAGTCTACTGTCGCTACGACTGCTGGAGATGAGATCGTTTTTGACAACCAGTCAACCAAGGAAACCGAGCCAGTCACCGAAGAGCTTGTCGAGGAGTCTGTTAAGGAGGCTGTCGAGGAACCTGTTGTCGAGGAACCTGTTGTCGAGGAACCTGTTGTCGAGGAACCTGTTGTCGAGGAACCTGTTGTCGA